GTCCGGTACGGGGGCGACACTGAGGGTTGCGATCCATTGCCGGACATGAAAAAAGACAAAAGACAAAAAAAAAAAAACTGGTTCCCTGATTGGAGGACAGGGGCAGAGGGAGTCCTGATTTGAAGCATCTGCCCATTTCCATAGTGTAAATTCTCCCACCATGGCCAATTTCAAGCTACCAATATGATGCCACGGAGTTGGGAAGAAATGGGCAGTAGCAGGCCGTCATATGGCATCTCCACAGTACAAATACAATAGATGTAAATAACCTCAAGAGCATCGATAATAGTAAAATGTAGTAAAGTCATTGAGATGTGAAGAACTTTGAGTATTTAATATAAGTTATTTCATTGTAAGTTTATATAGTATAATTTTAAATAATGGCTGAGTTTAGCAACCAGCTGGACAAAATCGTGAAAATTTAACAATCAACTCTTAAAAAGCTGGCACAAGCCAGCTCCAGCACACCACCGAGTCCAAGGGAATTTGGAAATCCCTACATCTGCCTTCAGTTTCCCAAACAGAGTTTCAAGGACATTCTGAGGATAAGGGTCAAGGAGCAGTAGCCCCATTAGACTGGCCGGAAGACCAAGGCCTGTGGGGCGTTAAACACTCAGCAGGGGTGAAGAAGATGTGGTTAGGATTAGAGGTAGTATCCTTGAGAATTCCACTTATTGAGCACTTATATGCCAGGTGCTGTGCTGAGCACTTTATGTAGAACCTTCAGTCCTCCCAGTCCACCCCAGGAGGTGAGTATTTTATCCCCATTTTACAGATTAAAAAAACTGAGGTTGATAGGGTTGAGGAAGGAGACAGTCTAGTATAATCGCCGGAGTCGGGCTGAACTTAAACAAGCTGTTCACTTCACTTCTTGTGTCTCAGATTCCTCACCTGTAAAATGGAAATAATAAGAGTTCTTACCCTAAAGGGTGTTGCAGGCATTAAAAGAAGTCACATTTGTTGGCTGCTTATCACAAATCCTGGCATGCTATAAGTCATAAATGGTGGCTGTTTTTATTAAACAACGGGGTTGCACGTAGGGCCAGCCCCAGGATAGGTTTGGGTGCTGGAGCAGAGGCCATTCCAGCACACAGGTCCTCTGGCTCCCCGGCCTCCTTGTCTCCAGCCTGCTCCCCTCCTCCAGCCAAGCATTGCCCGCCAGGCCCGTTAAAGGAAACACCTCTGACCCTCAAGAGTCTTCCTGCTCCTTAAGGCTAGTCATGTGCACGTCACCACGTCACTGCAAGGAAGGCATCTTGGGCTTAATTAACGTTGGCAGGAGCAAGCCCAGGGTTTTAATGTTCATGCCCCAAGGCAGGGATTCCACAGGTTCAAGGCGAGCTGGGGCAAGACAAGTCTCTGCAGATCATCTACAAGCATGGGGTGGGGGTTGGTGACACCTACTAGACCCTTCCTCCATGGAAAGGCCCAATGACAAGCATGGGGTGGTGGCCTGCATCCTCAGATGCTCTAGGCACAACACGCCATTGTGAGCATGTGTCCACCCAAATCTGGGGAACAGGGAGCCCAAGGAGGCTGGCAGTGACCAGAGTTTCCTGATGAAGCTGCCTAGCTCTGCCCTAGCCCCTTCCGATGGAGAAAACAAATCCTCCCCTCTATGCTCTGCCTGGACATCTCCTATGCCCAGGAGCTCACTACCTCCTAAGATAGCCCAGCAGGGTCAGCTTCCTGTTAGAAAGTTCTCTGCCATCACGAAGAAGAGCGGACGCCTGCATGTGACTGTGGTCAGCTAGACCCTTTCTCATGCCACTCAGCCTCCCAAAACTCTCCCTGTAGATCGCTGCTACTGGGGACAAAGCTCTCGTGAGGCCGTCACAGTGGAACTAATTTGGGGCATGGTGGTGAGTTCTCTTACTTCTAAATGCATTCAATGTGGAGGACCCCCTGCCACTTGCAATCCCACCCTTCCTACTTTGAGGGTGTGGAAGATGTTCCATCACTGTGGTGCTAGCAGATTTTGTCCTAACTTGGCAAAATTAAAAAATTAAACATGGTTGGTCCTATACTGACACTTCCCTAAATATATATAGATAGATTTATTTCAAAGTTAGTCCATGTAATGGGGCCAGCCCGTTAGCTCAGTTGGTTAGAGTGCGGTGTTATAACACCAAGGTCAAGGGTTCAGATCCCCATATCAGCCAGATGCCAAAAATAAAATAAAATAAAAATTATTAAAAAAATAAAAATTCATCCAAGTGATGCATGATCACAGTGTCTACCCTGTGAAGAAAATAGTGGTAACCGCCTTTCACAGATGAGGAAACTGAGGCTCAGGAAGAGCAAGTGATGGCCCACGGTCACACAGCTGACGAGGGGAAGGTCAGGACTCAAACCCCAGGCTTCTGGGCTCCAGCATCCATGTTCTCAGCTCTCTTTCTTCCTGGAGGATTATTCCTGCCCCCTGGGGCATCACAGAATCAGTCTTTTTGGAGGCATCCTGCAACTCCTCTTCTGAGGTGCGACCTCCCCAGAGCTTCACAAACCTTCCCCTGGGTTCCCTGCCCCTGCCTCCTGCTTGCCTTCTTTTAGACTCACCTTGGGGGATCCCCAGCCTAAAGGGCACATGGCTCTTAGAAGCAAGCACCATAACCCTTTCGTTATCCTCTCTGCCACACCCCACCCCATCTTTGGAACAAGGCCCCATGTTCCATTTTCCAGCAATTTCTGCCAGGCAAGGCTGTTTGCCAGTCCCAAGTGAAGGTCGTTCAATAACCAACTCTCCGCCCCCCACCCACACGCCCATCCTCCCTCCTCCCTCCCAGCCTGGTTCTGGCACACCAGCAACCACCCAGTCCTGCTCAGACTTGCCCCACAGGCCTGTAAACAGCGCCTGCACCCGGTGGTGATGGGGTGGGGGCCTCCACCGTCCCCAGCCACACCCACCTCAGGACAGCAGCCGGAGGTAGCCCACAGCGCTGGGCCTCCGCCCTCCCCTCCTGCCCTGCTCTGCTTTTTTGGCCCCCAAGCAAGGTCTTCGGTGGAATTTGGATGACCCAGTGAGTAGGGGGCCCAGAGCTTCACCAAGCAAGAGACGCTCCCCAAAGCAGCCAAGCACCTCCTCACAAGGGCAAGGGCTTGGAACAGCATCCCGAGAAGCCCCTCCTCATCCTGGAAGAGACCCTGAACAGAGCTCAGGAGCAGTTTCCTGATGTGCTCGCTGGCTGTGCGGCATTGGATAATTCACTTAACCTTTCTGAGCCTTGATTTCTCATCTGTTATATGAGAATTAATAATATTTGCTACTTGAGTCGAGTTGTCATGAAGGTTAAATGAGCTAACGCGGGTAACATGTTTGCAGCGGTGCTGGCACACAGCGCTCAGTGAACGCCAGTCTTCATTAAAAAATCATTGTGCAATAAATGTAAGCTCCACTCCTGCCTTTCTCTGAGCCTTAGTTCCCTCCTCTGTAAAAATAATGCCTGCCCCACCTAACGGCTGTTATGAGGTTCAAAGGAGATTATGGGCGCACACGCTATGAAATCCTATAAAAACAGAAGTGTGCTTGCCAGTCTTCCAGAAGAATCCACCCCATTCCAAGATCTCTTCCCTTTCAGATCCCACAATATAGTGTCCCAAATATTCTCCTCCTAAGCAGAGGCATCCCAATCTTGGCCAGACAGTGCAACATTTGGCCAATACTGTCCCCAAAAAGCAGTCAGGTGGGAAATGCTCCTTCCTCGAGGCACAGCAGGGGCCAGGCTTCAGACTGCATTCATCGTTGTACTTAATCCTCGTCACAACCCTAGGAGGTTGGTTTCAGGTCCCCACTTTGCAGATCAGGAAACTGAGGCTAAAAGCAGTTAGTAAAGCTACCCGATGCCTCT